AAGTGTTCTTTCCGTTGCCATTTTATTTAAGACTTCCATTTTTACTTACTTAGTTCGTTCATGGAATTCTCAGCATCCTTCTGTAGAACCAATTTTCTGTTGCCTCTTTGATTTCCTCGACCATGGGGTGATTGCCCAGCATTCACTGCTATATATGAGGAGAGATACCACATGTCAATCTAGCACTCTTTTCTTTGTTTCTAATGAAATTTTTCTGTGCCTCAACCCCTTGCTTAGCTTTTGGGATGCTTCTTTTGCTTGTGCAATACGTGCTTCGGATCTCGGTGTCACATTTTCCCTCCTCTGTTAAAACATTTCCCAGATGTTTGAAATGCTGCACCCACTTGTTGGTTATATATCCAATTCTAACACGCATCTTGGGCTTTTTTCCTGGCTGATGACCACACTTTCCGTCTTCTTCTATAAATTGAAAGAGCTATGAGGGTGGGCTGAAAACTTCATAAGCTGACTATAAAGGAGTGGTTCGAGAGCTATGAAATACTGAATGTATTAATTTCAACGCTTATTAATAAATGCATTGCTTATTTGCAGGTAAACTGACATCTGAATGTTAAAAAAAAATGTGACATGTAACTAGGAGCGACTTGTATTGAAAATGGAATAGAGGACATTTGGGATCATGGTGTTATCAAGAACCTGCATCAAAAAGGGTTTAGCCCCAAAGACATTCTTGTTGACATTCATGCTACATTAGGGGAGGACTCTATAGTGTTATCAAGAGTAAAAGAAAGGGGGGCAGCTGGATTTTGGAGGGGAAGGGAGAGCATTGAAGATGGTTTAAATTATTGATGTTCTGCAGGGTTAAGTTTGGATAGATAGATAGATAGATAGATAGATAGATATAAATAGACTGATAGATAGATAGATAGATAGATAGATAGATAGATAGATAGATAGATAGATAGATATAAACAGACTGATAGATAGATAGATAGATAGACAGATAGATAGATAGATAACATATAAAGATATATATATTGATGCATGTTTCATTAAATAATATAGATGTATTGTCTATATATATATATATATATATATATATATATATATATATATATATAAGGATCGATAGATAATAATTATCAAATAGATAGATAGATAGATATAACCAGACTGAGATAGACAGATAACATAAAGATATATATATATATATATATATATATATATATATATATATAGAGAGAGATAATTAACAGATAGATAGATAGATAGATAGATAGATAGATAGATAGATAGATAGATAGATAGATAGATAGATATAATAGACTGAGATAGATAGATAGATAGATAGATAGATGAATTTACACAAATGCAAAATATAATACAATATTTACCAAGTACACTCACTTCTATTTTCCCCAGGTCTCTCTTAAATAAACACTCTTTCACTTTTCTCGTTTTCTTTCTATTATAGACGCCCTCTCTCTCTCTCTCTCTCTCTATCTATCTATCTATCTATTTATCTCTATCTCTATCTATTTCTTTTTCCTTCTCAAACGCGCTTTTTTTCTGTTGCGCTCTTACATTTTCTTCCTTTATGTGATTGTCCCTCTGCCTCAGTTTAACAGCCTTTCTCATTCCAACACTCCTCCCCGCCTCTTTCTCCCTAACACACACTTTCTCTATCTCCAACACAGACTTTCTTTCTCTTTCACTCACTTTCTCAGTTCACCCTCTCTCTCTCTTTTCACCCTCTCTCTCTTTCTTAATATGTACACCTAATTCACACTCCCTCACATACACAGCTCTCTCACACTCTCTCCCACATCTCTATCACACATATGCAAATTATCTCTCTCTCGCTTTCGTTGCAGGCGTTTCACGTAAGCACCCCCATCTCTCTCTCTCTCTTTCTCTCTCTGTACCCAACACACACTTTCGTTCTCACTCCAACACACACTTCCTTTCTTTTTTTACCCTCTCTCTCTTTACCCTCTACCTCTCCCTTTCGCCTCCCTCTCTCTCTCTCTCTCTGAATGTGTACACTTATTTCACACTTTCCTTACATGCACCCTCTGTCTCCCCATCTGTATCAGACACACATTCTCTCTATCACTTTCTTTTTCTCTCTCCCACTCTCTCTTTCTCTCTCTCCAACTCTCTCTTTCTCTCTCACTTTATCTTTCTCTCCCTTTCTCTCTCTCTCTCTTTTACTATCTCACTTTCTCTTTCTCTCTCTTTCTTTATCTCTCTTTCTCTCTCTCACTTTCTCTCTCTTGCTATCTCTCTTGCTCTCTCTCCCACTCTCTCTTTCTCTCTCTCTCTCACTTTCTCTTTCTCTCTCTTGCTCTCTCCGACTCTCCCTTTCTCTCTCTTACTTTCTCTTTCTCTCTTTCTCTCTCTCTCTCTTTCTCTCTCTCACTTTCTCTTTCTCTCCTTTTCTCTCTCTTTCTCTATCTCACTTTCTCTTTCTCTCTCTTTCTTTCTCTCTCTCACTTTCTCTCTCTTGCTCTCTCTCCCACTATCTCTTTCTCTCTCTTACTTTCTCTTTCTCTCTTTCTCTATCTCACTTTCTCTTTCTCTCTCTTTCTTTCTCTCTCTTTCTCTCTCTTGCTCTCTCTCCCACTCTCTCTTTCTCTCTCTCTCACTTTCTCTTTCTCTATCTTTCTCTCTCCCACTCTCTCTTTCTGTCTCTCTTACTTTCTCTTTCTCTCTTTCTCTCTCTCACTCTCTCTTTCTCTCTCTCACTTTCTCTCTCTATCTCTCTCCCACTCTCTCTTTCTCTCTCACACTTTCTCTTTCTCTCTCTTTTTCTTTCTTTGTATGCGTGTTCCTTTCTTCTTTGGCAATAAACAAATCGATATACGTAGATATTTACCCTTTAGATTTTAAGAATGCTTTCTGCTTTGACATTGGCTCATATTTCGAAATGAACACAGTTTTCTCTTCAATTATTTTAAAACAATGACAAAGCCTTCACTTAGCCGGAAGCAGAAAATGTTCCCTATTATGGCAATAAACGAGATATCGTTACATGACAATGTAGGGGGCGCTCCTAATACTATTCCCAACTGTTTTAAAATCGCGCTTTTCTCCCCAGGCAAATGAAACAAACAAGAAAATTAGGCATACAAAGAGAACACCTGCCTTTATTTCTAATCATAAAAACAAATATTTCAGCCCCACCCTCGCTACATACATCACGCCACCAATTAGAAGTTGTCGGATGGTGGATAAACTTATTGGTTACGCGTTTCGTCTTTCGAAAGGACTTCAGACTAAACAATAATAATGTTTGTTTTTTTTTTATCGATATCTTATACATGTTTCCTGGCTGTTCTTAGTTATTCACAATCCTTTTGGCTAATTCGTCCTGGGTATGACGGTAAACTACATCTGGCATCAAGACCTCTGATCGGGAGGTTTTGAGGACTATAGAACCACCTCTTAATTGCTGTTGTTCTCTGACCCGGAGTTGTTTCAACTGTTAGGGCCCCAGCTATGGACAAATAGTGAACCACCCAAACTGGGGTCAAAATACTATGAAAGTATAAAAAATAGATGTTTATAGTAAAAAAATAACAGCAATACATTTATCAAAAAAAATATATATATTACCAGCAATACGTTTGAATCTGGACAAAAACCCTCCTTTATAAAAATACGTCAATGACATTTGATCTACAGAATGATTTCTTACAAAGAATATATATTCTATTCATACGAACCTACCCTAAAAATCTTGTCGGCATTAAATAACCCATTGAGGTGTTGATATGCTGTAAAACAAAATAAACCCAAACCCCTCAAAATATAAAATAAATGAAAATGTCAATAAAGCCAGTTTCTCTACAAACTGTGTATCAGAATAGAATGTAACAATGAAACCAGACTCTCGACAAAAAATACTCTTTACAAAAATACGTCAATGAAAAACTGATCTACGGTATGAAAATAAACTACATCCGCGTCCTGGGTAAGACGATAAACTACATCCGCGTCCTGGCTAAGACGATAAACTACATCCAACAGCAAGGCCTTTGATCAGGTTTTCAGTCAGGTTTTGGGAAGTGTGGAACCATCTCTTAATTGATGGTGTTCCCAGGTCCACCCTGAACCGGGGTGGTGGCACCTTTTTGGGTCCCAGCTATGGGCAAATAGTTATCCGCCATACTGGTGTCAAAACACTATGAAAGTGTAAAAATAGGTTTTAATACCAGAAATACTGTCTAAAAATTGCTACCAGCAATAAATTTTTGAAGAAAAATTATTACCAGCAATATATTTTGAAAAAAAAAAAAGAATTACGAGCAATAAAAATCTTGTCGGCATTAAGTAACCCATTGAGGTTGATATGCCGTAAAACAAACCAAACCCAAACCTGATCTACAAACTGATTTCTTACAAAGAATAAGAATACTATTCATATGAATATATCCTAAAAATACTGTCGGCATTATATAACCCATTGAGGTTGATATGCCGTAAAACAAACCAAAACCTGATTTACAAACTGATTTCTTACAAAGAATAAGAATATTATTCATATGAATGTATCCTAAAAAATTTTGGCTTATGGTCATATTACGTTGCAACACCGGTTCTCGCCCAATCACCGAAATTAACCAACTTCGAATGTGGCTGGTAGATGGGTGACCGCTTGGGAATACCACGTGCTGTAAGCTTGGATGTGCGGATGGTGTAATAGATAAGTGCTTGCAATATGAATTCGGAAAGCCGAGTTCGATTTTCAGCCGGTTGTATTATATTCACCTACGCGCAAGCACCCTGGAAAAGGTATGAATCCACCTCTTCTCCCCTATCTATGGGTTAAACTAGTAGCCCTTGTATCTGAAAATCATTATTATTATCTCCAAGAAATTGTTAATACAATATTCCCTCGCCAAAAAAAAAAAAAAAAAAAAAAAAAATTATTATTTTTACAATCTCAAAATAAGTTCCGGCTTTAAATAACCCACAAAAGGTTGATAAGCCGTTAAAAAATCAATCATTTTCTTTTTCGAAAATAGTGGCTTAAAGTCATATCACCTTGAAATACCGGTTTTCGTATGATCACCGAAGTTAAGCAACGTCGAACATGGTCAGTGTCTCGATGGTTGACCGCTTGGGAATACCAGGTGCTGTAAGTCTGGAGTGCGGGTGGTGTAATAGATAGTGGCGCGGAATTGTTAATATGAGTGTCGAGTTCTAATTAGAATTTCTTGTGCGTAAATACACTTGGAACAGGCATGAACCCATCTATTCCCTCTCTCCCCGCCCTCGATACTTATGTTTCATAGATAAAGCAAAAGCGTTTGATAAATTACATCACAAAAATATTGGAACTGCTCTTTAACCATAACATATTTGGGAATCATATTAGAATAACAGAGAACTTATACTGACAGCAAACTACCTGTATATGGGTAGAGAATGATTCCTTTAAATATACCAAGATAGAAAGCGGTATAAGACAAGGATGTCTCTTCTCGCAGGACTTATTCAACCTATAGAGGTAAGCAATTCTGAGAGAATTAGGAGGCCTGCCATGATTGGCCACCACAATCTTAACAAATTAAGATATGCAGATGACACAGTGTTGATAGCAGATACAGAAAGGAAACTGCAAGAACTATAAAAGGTAGTGAAGGAAAGCATGAAGAAAGGACTAAATATCAATTGCAACAAGGCAGAATGCATGGTTGTCAGCAAAAGGAACAGCTCAACATGCAAATTACAAATTGAAGATACCAAAATCAAACAAGCGTGAAAATTTAAATATGCGAGAAGTGTGTTAACAGGGGATGGAAAGTGCAACACCGAAATCAATACGTGCATTGAGATAGAGATAGATGTTTTCCAAAACCTAAGCAAAGTATTAAAAAATAGAAAAATTTTATTAGAAGCAAAGAAAAGACTATTGAACTGTTACATAATATCATTCCTCCTATATGACAGTGAATGGTGCACGATCACCTTTACACTATTTACATTATTCGGACTATTGTCCTCATTTTTGTCGCCATGTTGATCACAACGTTTCGGCCGTTTTACTCTCTGGCCTCCTTCGGGTGGTTGGAATGTCAAATGTTCGAATAATGTAAATAGTGCACATAATAACTCATCTCAGAAATATAGACAAAGTCGACTTTAATGTAAAGATTGATTGCTTCCTTCACTTTCTTGTTAAGGAGTTTGGAAAATCGATCTGCTTGTGTCATCCTTTTGATGGCCATATGGGATCTTGTGCAATACCACTTGTTACATGGACTGTGGGACAATGATCCGATTGCCCTTGATCAAAATCCCATTTTCACTGGCTAGCTTATCATGATATGGCCACTATGGTCACAGTTAATTTCTCTGAATATGTCGGGCCAACCTCTTAAAATCATGTCCCTTTATTTGCACAATGTTGGGTCAGCATTTGTTGCCAGTTGTAGTTATGCTAACCTCTCCAGTGAGAATTGAGCAAAGTCGAGTTTACACTATTTACATTATTCGGACTATTGTCCTCATCTTTGTCACCATGTTGATCACAACGTTTCGGCCATTATACACTCTGGCCTTCTTCAGGTGGTTGGAATGTCAAACAATAATCAAAATAATGTAAATCGTGTACATAATACCTCATCTCAGAAAGATTGATTGCTCCTTCACTTTCTTGTTAAGGACTTTGGAAAATCCATCTGCTCATGTCATCCCTTTGCCTGAGCGATAGACAATGGTCATATCATAACGTTGCAGTCATAATAGCATTCGCTACAAATCAGATTTTTGAGGTTGACCATCTCTATTGACTTGTGATCGCTTTCCATTTGGAAAGCATACCCGTAGATGTACGTTTGAAAATGCCCACATCCAAAAAACAGCCGCTAGGTGTTCCTGTTTGATATTAGCATACCATTGCTCTGTTTGCATCAGAGATTTTTATGCAAATGCTATTTGCCTTCCATCCTGATAAGAGCTGTGCCCAGGCCTCTCTCTTTTGCTTACTTGCTTCCCTGATACCTACAATCTTCAAAAATTTAAATGCAATGTCAGTTGCCATCTTCTGTTGTCTGGAACCTTTCTCATCTTTTATCCTTTTCTTCAAGTCCCCCTATATGCAGTCTTTTCACTCACTTTCACTCTCTGTAAACCTCTGCATACTTGTGACACTCCTACATTGCCTGGAAAGCACACACGTAGATATACGTTTCAAAATGCTCACATCCAAAAAACAGGCTGTTAGGAGTTCCTGTTTGATATTAGCATACCATTGCTCTGTTTCCATCAGTGAATGCTGCATTATCACTTCACAGATGAAGAAGAGACTTGAAGCAATAGAAACGTGGTTCTACAGAAGGATGTGAGCAAGGACAAAGATTTAGAGAAAATGGGGAAAAAAAAGAAAAACTATCCTTAACATCAGAAAGAGGCAGTTGATATTTCTAGGGCACATAATGGGGAAAGAAGGCTTGGAAAATTTAAGACTCACCTGGTAACAAAACATAACATATCCTAATTTGAATGAATAGAGTGCACAGTAGAATTCGGCCAGAGAGAGCAATACAAATGCAAAAGAATGTATCCCTATTTTTTATAGATTATGCAATAGCATTTGTTAAATTAAGTCACAAATAACTACTGGGATTGCTAGATAACATTGTCATATTTGAGAAGGATATTAGAATAATCCAGAACATGTACTGTGAGCAAATTGCTAGCACACAAGTAGAAAATGAATTTCATAAAAATACAAAAATAGAAAGGAGTGTAAGACAAGGATGTGCCTTCTCACCAGATTTATTCAAACTATACAATAAAGCAATCCTGAAAGAACTAGAAGTCCTGCCAGGATTCATTATGGACAACCACAATCTTAACAACATAATATATGCAGATAGCAGACATTGTTTGATTTATTTTGTTTATCAACACCTCTATGGGTTATTTAATACTAGCAGCATGGCCCGGCGTTGCCCGTGGTTGATTCAAAAATCGTACGACTCATACAGCAATCGCTATCACTTGACTTAAAATATTTTTACCTTCCTTGCCTTTAAAGGAGTGCCCTTTGCCGTGCTGATGTTGCGATTTTTTTTCACACTGCGAATTTTTTCTAAGCTCTATACTAAACATTAAATCTGTTACGAAAAAAGAACTAAACAAAATGAACACAAAATGATCAGCTTTAAAAAAGGACTCGTAACAGGAAAAACCGAATGAAAAAAGAATGTTAACAAAAAATAATTTTCCACACCCAACCCAGTTCTGCGGAATCAGAATCAATGTCGAGTTTAAGCAAGCGAATGAGCCAATTGGAGTAAAGTGTCATGCAGATTTAAATTTTTCCCAATTGTGACGAATGAAGCTATCGATTTTTTTTTGCATGCTAGTTAACATTCGTGTCAGTCAGTTGTTGGCTCTCACGCTGGCCAGTAGAAAATGGCCGCAAACTACATGAAAACTGCCATAGAAGCATGAAAACATCGATTATTTCCACTATCGATGGGAGTTGGGAAATGCAAAGTTGGTCTTGACCTTTCTACTAACTTGGAGCATGTGCATGTAAATTTTGGTGCAAATGCTTCGAAAATTGCGGCCGTGCATTCGTTACACACACACACACACACACACACACACACACACACACACACACACACACACACACACATCCAGCCTTTTATAGGTAGAGATCAAAATTTAAATATTTGTATATAATTTTATGTCTTCAAGCAACAGATATTTGATACATAATTCTATACTTTCAGGATAAACTTTTATTTTTACATATATAGTTTGTAGATGATAAATTACGTCACAAAGAAATGTTGTAACGGCTAGGTAACCGCTGTGGAGTGATTTCACAGTGGAGGCTTGTATTTGTACTAAGTCGCTCCTAAAATAGGTTCGACGTACAAAACGTTAGGAACTTGATATAATAGGTAATGACGCACAGAAATCTAGTTGTTCAGTCACATCCCCCCCGCCCCACGAAGGCGTCATGTGGCACAAGGCCTTTTTAACGTGGGATCTCTGAGCCCTTGGTCTCGGCCAAAAATATGCCCATTGAACCCGTATAAACGAGTTCAGGGTCGGTTTACCTCCCCGAAAGAGAATCCGCCCTTTGGCGTAGCCTTTTTCGGGTTCCTCCCCACCCGAAGGCAGAGAGTTCAACCGATCAGAATAGAATAGGTGTGTTCCCACATAACAGTAACCTTAATATATTGGGGAATTATATTAGAATAACCCAGAACATATATTGACAACAAACCGTGTGCATAAGGATAAAAAATGAATTCTGTAAATATACAAAAATAGAAAGAGGTGTAATACAACGAGGTCTCTTCTCACCAGACCTCACCTCACTGTACAAGTTGAATTAAACTTGTACAGTGAGTGAGGCTACCAGGCTGCAATTAGACTTATCAGAATTTCTTATTGGTGGCCACAATCTTAACAACATGATATGCAGAAGATACAGTTTTGATAGAAGACTCAGGAAAGAATCTACAGGAACTCCTGTAGAAGGTTGTGAAGGAAAGCAAGATGGCTGGACTAAATGTCAGCTGTAAGAAAACAGAAATCCATGGTTGTTAGCAAAAGTAACAGTAAAGTAATGACGCAGAGAAACAGGAAAATTTCATTAGAAGCAAAGAAAAGGGTGCTGAATTAATACGTAATATATAGAAGGGAATGCTGGAAAATCTCTTTACAGATGGAGAAACGCGGAGCAACAGAAATGAGGTTCTACAGAAGGATGCTGAGAATAAAAAGAACATGTGAGCAACGACGTGGTTTTAGAGAAAATGGAAACAAAAAGGAAACTTATACTTAACATCAGGAAGAGACAGTTGAGATTTCTACAGAAGGATGCTGAGGATACCATGGACCGAACATGTGAGCAACGATGAGGTTTTAGAGAAAATGGAAAGAAAAAGGAAACTTATACTTAACATCAGGAAGAGACAGTTGAAATTTCTACAGAAGGATGCTGAGGATACCATGGACCGAACATGTGAGCAATGACGAGGTTTTAGAGAAAATGGAAACAAGAAGGAAACTTATACTTAACATCAGGAAGAGACAGTTGAAATTTCTACAGAAGGATGCTGAGGATACCATGGACCGAACATGTGAGAAACGACGAGGTTTCAGAGAAAATGGAAACAAAAAGGAAACTTATACTTAACATCAGGAAGAGACAGTTGAAATTTCTACAGAAGGATGCTGAGGATACCATGGACCGAACATGTGAGAAACGACGAGGTTTCAGAGAAAATGGAAACAAAAAGGAAACTTATACTTAACATCAGGAAGAGACAGATGAAATTTCTACAGAAGGATGCTGAGGATACCATGGACTGAACATGTGAGCAGCGACGAGGTTTTAGAGAAAAATGATAGAAAAAGGAAACTTATACTTAAAATCAGGAAGAGAGAGTTGAAATTTATACAGACGGATGCTGAGGATACCATAGACGTAACATGTGAGCAACGACGAGGTTTTAGAGAAAATGGAACCCAAAAGGATCCATATACCTAATATCAGAAAAAGACAGTTGAATATTTTAGGTCGCATAGCGTGTAAACAGGGCTTGGAAAATTTGACAATCACAGGGTATATCGAAGGCTAGAGGGGCAGATGAAAACAACGCATAATCTCCCATGCGAGATTGAGTAAATGGATAGCGGAACAAGGTTTAGGAAAAATAACAAAAAGACAAAATTTATTAAGAGCTACAAAGGACAGGAAATTGTGGAGAGCCATGATCGCCAACATCCTGAAGGGACACGGCACATAGAAAAAGAAGAAGAAGAAGAAGTAGGACTTTTATCCGTAAATCATTATTATCTCCAAAAAAACGTCTGACGATCTCAAATACTTTTTGGCTTTAAATATCCAGTAAAAGGTTGATAAGACGGAAAAAATCAATTTTCTAAAATAGCCATTTGCTTTTATTTTTTTCCTTTTTTTTTTTTTTTTTTCTTTTCTTCGCTAATCGTTTTTACATTCTCTTGACTTCCTACATTCTTTCTCTCTTCATTTCCGGGTGTTCATTTTGTTCTTTCTTTCTCTCGTCTTTTTTTTTTCTTCTTTCTAATTAGGTTTTCTTTCGTTTACTCTTTTCGCTTATAGAAGTTTCTTCTAAAATCCCTTTTCTACCCAAAGTTTGTCACCATCTTACCCATTCTTCTCTTTTCACTTTTCTGGGGTTTTGTTTGCCGATTTCTATAACATTGAATCTTTGTTTCCTTCCTTTGTTTTGCCCTTTGGGTCGCTCTACCATCCTCCATATTGCAAATGGCTGTCCGTCTCTTATATTTATTCCTTTCTTTCATTCTTCTCTTCTTTCCTTACGTACTTACTTCTTTCCTTCCTTCTTCCTTACTTCATTCTTTCTTTTCTTATTTCTTTCCTTCTCTTTTATATCAAGTTGTTCTTTATTCTCAATCCTTTTTTTTTTCTCCAAAGTAGCTCTTGGCTTTTTTCTTCGTTTTTTTGTTCTTCGCTTTCTCTTTTGACTCTTAACACCATTTCTCTCTTCTTCATTCTTGAACGTTCATTTTTCTTCTTTCATTTTCTCTTTTTTCTATTTAATATTATTCGATTTATTTTTTTTTTTTTTGTCTATAGAAGTTTCTTCTAAAATCTCGTATTCTTCAATTTTCTCACTCTCTTACCCTTTTCTTTACTTTTGACTGTCTTCTTTATTTTTTTCCTTTGTTAATTTGTATAACATTCAGTCTTTGTTTTCTCTCTTAGTTTTACTCTTTGTCTCGTTCTACGTTCCTCCATGTTGCAAATGGATGTTCCTCTCACAATTCCTTTCTTCCTTCTTTTCTTCCTTCTTTTTGACCCCGAATAAACACAGTTTCCATTTCCTCTTCCTTCTTTTCATATTATTCTATGAACCCCTAATTCCTCTTCTTTCTACCCTTTTTTCTAAGTTCCTACAACGTTTCCCACCTTCTGTGGACATTCCTGCTACACCTCTGTATTCCCCAACTCTCATTTCAATATTCTCCATCTTCTCTTCTAGATAATGTCTGGTATCATTCTTGTAGCCATTCACTTTTCTTTGCGTTAGAACAAAGGCTAGCCATCATTGTCGCATTTCCTCAGTTCCGTTGACTTTGAAAAGCACGAAACCTTGCAAAAACAGTTTCGGGAACTGAATCATCAGCTCTGTAGAAGAGAGGAGAACGAAATACAATAAATCAGTTACAGTTCTACACCGAGAAAAAATGCTAGAAATGCAGTGAGACTTTAGATTTAAATTTTAAACTTCTGATATCCGATATCGCTATTTCACGGATCCCAAACTGAAAGACATAAAAAGGCCCATTACGTGCTGAGGGTGAGTTACAAGGTTATTACTAATACGGATGGCAACAACACCCCAACCAGGAGGTTGTTTCAAATTTCCCAACCACGAGGTCCGCTTTCCACCATACGCTCATGTTTCCAAATAGGGTTTGGTATTTTTTAGGTATAGTAATTATGAAAATGAGAGGGTGAGTGGAAGAAGAGAAAGAGAGAGAGAGAGAATGAAAGAGAGAGGAGTGATAGATTGAGAGGTGGAGGAAAGAGAGAGAGAAAGAGATAGAGAAGCGGGCAAGCACGATTTCGTACGATTTTCAGCCGTTTGTGTTTAAAAAGAGGCATCGATTATGAAAACGAGGCATCGATTATGAAAACGATGCATCGATTATGAAAACGAGGCATCGATTATGAAAAAGAGGCACCGATTATGAAAACAAGGCATCGATTATGTCTCAGTTATTTCTCTTTAACGTAACACTCCATGTATTTTCGTTCACAACTCTTTGGATCTAATCACTGCATCTAACCAACGCCTTTATCCACTGGGCCATGTATCCTTGAAGATATCTGTGTATGAAGTTCTGGGATTTATAAACGTAATGTCTCAGTAACCGTTTTTACCAGTGCTCATATTGCAATTTTTCTGTTTTTATTAATCATATTTTTACCAGAGCTTATATTGCAAATATGTGTTGTTATTCATTGCGTTTTCTCTAGCGCTAGATAAAGGCGTTGATTAGATCCAGTGACTAGACACAAAGAGTTGTGAGTTCAATACCAGCCTACAGTAGTAGTGAACCAAAATACTTGGAGAGTTGAGTTAAAGGGAAATAACTGAGACATCCGGAAGAGGCATGACACGTGGAACTAGAATAATTTACCCCGGTGGATGAAATAATAGGTTCGGTTCGAAATTCCAATCACCTGAAGAAGGCCGGAGCGTACAACGGCCGAAACGTTGTGAATATGGCAATGAAGATGAGGATAACAGTTGGAATAATGTAAATAATGTAAGCAATTATAATAACTCATCTCAGAGATAGAGATAGATATTGAAGGCATGACACGTGGAACAAGAACAAGCTACCCCGGTAGACGAAATAAAGCGTTCGGTTCGAAATTCCAGTCACTTGAAGAAGGCTGGAGCGTACAACGGCTGAAACGTTGTGAATATGGCAATTAAAATGAAGATTAGGATAATAGTCGGAATAATGTAAATAATCATAATACGTCATCTCAGAAATATAGACAGATATTTTTGCCGATTGCTTAACGTTGAAACTGACAGTCACCGTGCACTAGTGCCTCGATATATATATATATATATATATATATATATATATATAAATAAAAAAAGAAAGAACAGTAAGATATATATGTGTTCTTATAGATATTTTTATTTTTACAAAATAGTGCTCAATATAGATAGATAGATAGATAGATAGATAGATAGATAAAGATAAAGACATAAAAGCACTCGAGTATAAGTGTAGGTGTTTGTGTTAGTGTAAGTTTTATGTGCGTGTTATATATATATATATATATATATATATATATATATATATATATATATATATATAATCATAATTTACGGTTTCTCTGTATCCTTGGTAACCGTAAATTATGAATTTCCTGCAGTTAAAACTCAATAAATTTTAAAAAATAAGTTACTCTAAAACTCACTTGACGATGAAATGGAACTAATGTTTTTAATTTAATTACAAAATTTAAAGGTTTTAGCTTCCATTTTTGAAACATGGTTATTACCGTGTAGCGAAGAAGCCATATTTTAAATCAGATAATTTATAATATTAATGCTCTGTAAATTTACATTAAGCACTATTTTGTAAAAAATAAAAATATCAATAAGAACACCGGATTACATATCTTACTGTTCTTTCTTTTTATTTAAATATACATATATATATATATATATATATATATATATATATATATATATATATATATATATAGAGAGAGAGAGAGAGAGAGAGAGAGAGAGAGTGTGTTTGTGTGTGTGCGCGCCCAGAAACGTCAGACGCAAAACAAGAGTAGAACAGAATGACGAATATAAAAAAAAGAAAACCCTATCCTTCCGACTAACTTGAAAATTTAAAAGTAATTACATCATCGCTACCTGCTGTTTTCCACTCTACCCCATCTCCACGTTTATTGCTTTTGTTCAGACTGACCTGTCTCTACCGTCCTGCCTATCCCCTCCCCTATCCCTATTCTTTTCTTTTGGCGGGCTTTACATGTCCAGTCAATCCCACTTGATAACCATCTCGGAAACAATTCCTCACATTGAAGCCACGAAACTTGACACTTCATCAGAAGCTAAGGTTACCGGCTCGCCATTGTCTCATGTAATGACTGATCGTTCGGCTAATTATTTTAATATGAAGTACGTTTAATGACAATGGGGACCGAGCGTTCAAATTAGCCATAAATTATGCTTCTAGGATCTCTTCAACGTGTTCATTGGTCAGTTCGTCAGTCGCCTCAAGAAATCACGGTTGTTTGTTACCATGGTGAGTTGATTAGCTTCACATTGTCAAGTCATCTTGGGAGGTAGGGCTAGTAACCACTAATGGACCGTATATTGTCTTGTTCATTCATGCTGATACGATATGCACACCAGAGAAATATTCTGGAATCACTACCAACTGGTATAGTTCGGTGATTTGCGAACAGTTTATATGGTAAAGCGATAATGAGTTCAATTCCAGTGATTTCTATAAAACAATTCCATGTGTGGCTCTGTGTTTATTTTTAAATTTGTGACATGGAGAATTATATTTCATTAACTAGAAATAACAGGGAAATGCTCAAGGATTTCCTATTTAGATTTTAGATTACCATATATACTCGCGTATCATGCGACCATTGAAGACCTAATTTTAATGCTAATTTGGATATATAAAGTGTGTCCCAATAACTTGGACCGATTTTAAATGTGAATTAAGTTTAAGCGTCTAATGATTTTTTTCTTTCTCTTTCAGATTTAAATACTTAAGTCTTTGGCAATTTCAACCATGGAAAGATTAACAATCAAACAACGTGTTAAAGTTATCGAAGCCTATTACGAAAATGGACGTTCAATCACAAATACAATGAGAAGTTCTCGGGTCGCATGATCTCTCGAAACAGCGGAGTCAATTGGCCACCACGGTCGTGCGACTTGACGCTTTTCAATTTCTTCCTTTGGGGTCATCTCAAAAGTAAGGTCTATGCCAACAAGCCAACAACAATTCAACTGCTGAAGGATGAGATAATAAAGCATATTGGTGAGATCGATGAGCAACTATGCAGTGACGTCATCAAAAATTTTGACCATCGAGTGGTAGTGTGCCGCTGAAGCCTTGGCGGATATTTGGGCGATATTATTTTTCATACATAATTGCCATGACTTAAATAAGATGATCCAATAGAGAAATAAATAAATTTTACCAATAACACTGATTTATTTACTGCTGACTTTGATCCGTCTTAATGAAACACCCTTTAGTTTGGTCTATGGCGTAGCCAGATCCAGCAGTGTATACGCTAATTTTATATCTTGTGTATGATGGGAACCCCTTAAAATTAGCTCCAAAATTAGGTCTTCAAAAGTCGCATGATACGCGAGTATATATGGTAATCTTAATTCTTAAGTTAATAACTAAATAAGCTCATGAGGAGTTCTTTGGCAATAAAATATCAGTAGAAATTCCACTATCGCATAGTTAAATGGTTGAACTTAACATGATTAACAAAATCTTGCAATAACAATCATAAATATGAATACTAGTCGTTATCTATAGAAGTAAGGGGGTACAAATGGAGAGATTTGAAATTGACAATGTTTTCCATTTCACGGAAACAGTCGTTAAACACTTCTTTCTTTCGGTCATATGTCACCACCTCAGGTAGATTTTGGAGCATGTTTCTCGTGTATATGGTTCTCTGTGGTTGCACTGGGCAATAGGGGCAAGGAACTTCGAGGTTAAAATAAACAATTGATTTTCATTACTTGATATCAAAAAGGATTTCACATAGACTCGCTACTTTCTTTTCTATCTTTTTTCTAGGCCCAACGGTTAATTCCCGTGAAAACAAAGTTTTCATTTGTCAAAAAATAATTTCACATATGCTCGCGAATTTGTTTTCGTTTTTTTCTCAACGCCCCTGTCAATCTCTATGAAGGCATGATTTTCATTGGTCCAGAGAAAATTTTACGTAGACTCGCGAATTTGTTTTCGTCTTTTTCTCAGCGCGCCGGCCAATCTCTGTGAAAGCAAGATTTTGATTGGTGCCAAAAAATTTCACATATGCTCGCGAATTTGTTTTCGTTTTTTTCTCAACGCCCCGGTCAATGTCTATGAAGGCATGATTTTCATTGGTCCAGAGAAAATTTCACGTAGACTCGCGAATTTGTTTTCGTCTTTTTCTCAGCGCGCCGGCCAATCTCTGTGAAAGCAAGATTTTGATTGGTGCAAAAAAATTTCACATATGCTCGCGAATTTGTTTTCGTTTTTTTCTCAGCGCGCCGGTCAATCTCTGTTATGGAAAGATTTTCATTGGAAAAGAGAAAATTTCACATAGGCACACGAATTTCTTTCCGTCTTTTTCCTCACGTCGACAGAATTTGAAGGGAGTGTATGAAGGGGGTTGTTATTATTTCGTACTCACCATATAGCTTCGTATATTTGTAACTCGGCGTGATTTACTGGCTTGCTGCGCTCTCAATTAATAACAATAATCACAACCAAAATGTCATTATTATTATTATTATTATTATTATTAGAAAGACGCGTTGAAATTTTACCTGTTTCCCTATTTACATTTTCTGATGACTCTTAATTCTTAAGACTTAACTCTTAAGACGTAACTCTTAAGACTTAACTCTTAAGACTTAACTCTTAAGTTAATGATTGAATAAGCTCATGGTGAGTTCTAACAAAACAAAATGTCGGTATAACTTCCCCTATCACATTGTTAAATATTTGGACTTAACAGCTTTAACAAAATATTGCAATAACAATCTTAAATAAAAATGCTGATCGTTATTTTAAGAAGTGGGTACAAATAAAAAGATTTGAAATTGACAATGTGAAACAGCAGTTAAACACTCCTCCTTTCTCATTGAAATCAAGTAGTAACTTTACCCCTCTTTACACACGATCAAAACAGAATAGTCGATTATTATTATTAATAATAATCATAATAATATTAAAATATAATGGTCAGAATGGCCGAGCAGTCTAAGGCGCCAGCTCAGTATGTGATCTGATCCACGAATGTGGGAGTGGTTCTAAAATTATTTTTAATTAATTTATCTCTCAAATTGTATTATTATTATTATTATTATTATTATTATTATTATTACTATTACTACTACTACTAGAAAGATCCGTGGAAATTTCACGGTTTTCTTATTTAAATCATCTGATGAATTTTAATTCCTAAGACTTGACTTCAGTTAATGATTTAATAAGCTAATAAGGTCTCCCACAATAAAATGTCCGGAGATGTTCCCCTATCGCATCGTTAAGTATTTGCGCTTGACAATTTTAACAATGATAAATGCGAATACAGATCGTTATTTTAAGAAGATTTTTTTTTAATTTATTACAGTAAGGATCACTTTGTACAAGGCCCAGAGGCCACTCAAGATAGAGTATTACATTAAGAGCTAGTTTATATAGAGAGGAAGTTAAGATAACGGTTAACCCTAGATTTGAACAGGTTAAGATTTGTAATACATATACTTGCGTCCATAATAATAAAATCTATAATACAAAATACATTAAATATCTTTAAGCCTTGGAACCTGTGTAGTAATTATAGTGAATTATTAATAAATATAAAACAGCCTTCAAATAAAGTCATTGTGGCAGTCAAAACAGAATTGAAATTTATAACACTCCAAACGCCATACTGAAACAAAAACAAATGCAATGAAAAAATATATATTTGATTTAAGCAACAACATTTTTTTTTTTGCATTTTTTTTTTTTTTTTACAGTAAGGTTCACTCTGTACAAGGCCAGGGGGCACTCGAGGTAGAGAGTTGCGTTAAGATGCAGTTTATACGGATAGGAAGGGAGCATAATGGGTAACCCTAGACTTGAACAGGTTAAGATTACTATGATCGGGAAAACATCCTCTTGGGAGTCGGTTCCGCAGAGCAGTTGCATGAAACAGCTGTTCGAGCGGAACTTCTCACCGATGGAATATGGAACGAATTTTGATGGCTTGCTACAATGTAAGTGGCCGTAGCCGTAAAGATCATGAATGGCGAAACCAAGAAAGCAGCTTCCATGGAAGTAGCGATAAAGCAGCGAGAAGTTTGCCACATCCCGTCTGCGTGAGAGATGTTGGAAGGTGGAAAATAATTTATCGTCTACAAGGACTGTGAAACGTTTTTAATAGACACTGTAATGTGAGGACTGGGCAGCACCCATCTAAAATATGACTACAGTACACCCGTTCTCGGCCTGATCTGGCGCTTGTAAAAATAGCGGACAGCTTGAGGAGTCAGGTAATTACTGGAGAAGTAGAGGCAGCCGACCTTTTTTTTTTTTTTTTCTTGATATTTATCAATGGATCATATGTAAGAGTTCCATTTGAGGCCAGGTGTGATTTTAAGGCCCAATAGTCACTCAAGGCACGGAGCCTCACCGAGGGAAAAACCGTAAATTGTGACTGGCGATAATTCGGGGTCCGGTCGGCGATGATGAAATGTAACTAGTTAGTACAAATTAAAAGAACTGAAACTGACAACTTTTTTTATTTCACCGAAACTTCTATCTTCCCCTCTTTGTTTCTTTCTTTCTTTATCTCACTGAAGCCAAGTAGCGTCTCTGATATGTCTTTTCCCTATTTCTACGCGAGCACAACGGAATAGTCCATTATGTATGAGATACTAGCAGGAGACATTAAACAATTCTTTCTTTCATTTTCTCGCTGAAACCAAGTAGCGTCTCTGATATGTCTTTTCCCTCTTTCCACGCGAGCAAAACGGAATAGTTCATAATTCATGAGGTATTGGCAGGCCGAGGGACAAGCAAAATTATAATAAGATATATAATCTTCCATTCGCGGTAATGTCTTTTATCTTGATTATTATCGTTACACTGATTCGGTAATTGTAACGCCAATCCTTTTTGTTTGAATTTCCATGGTCAGGACTTAAACAGGCAAACTGCTTTACTCACAACGTTTTGGCCATTCGCTAGATTTCTTCAGAATGTTCGCACGCCTACCCGGTCTTTTAAACAGGAGAATAGGTTTATCCATTGTTTTATGTTTGGCTTTCCTATTCTTCCTAATTTTCAACTCCATATTTCTAACCTCTCCGTCTGAACTCAGAAAATATTTTACCAATAATTTTTTACTCTTTAATAACTGTAGATAAGTTCGTCTATCGCCCAGTTCACACTTCTCGCCGGCTTTTTGAACAAGAGTATAGGTTTGTTAAATTATTTTTTCCCCTGTTAGGAATGGATTTCCAGTTCCTTTTATAATCTTTCCAATCACTTTCATTTCCAGTAGTTCTCTTGCGTCTTAGTGGCTTTGTCGCCTTGCTTGGTGCGAATTGATTCAAAAAATACTTTGTTCGAATATTTCATATCAGTCATTTCATCATGAATATAAATTTTTCAAAAGTTACTTGTATTATATTTCCATTTATTTATTTTTCTTTAAAAAAAACAAGGGCCTAAAATATAAAGAATCATGTATATTAATTAACCCTTTTTTTAATATTTTATTGGGTTGAGAATGATTATTTAAAAAAAAATGAATTTAGGCTTCACCTGTCAAAATTGCTTAAATTATTTCTTTTTTCTAATAATCTCTTTGCTTTCTCGTTTGCATCTTACAAGGAAACAATTCGTAGAAATGGAGAAAGACACAGAATTACTCATCTGCATGGATATAGGATTAGAGAAACAGAAAATGAATTTGGAATAGAATTCAAGACGAAATTTGCTTTTCATTTGTTTTTGTATTTTAAACAAAAAAAATGCCAGCTGAAAATAAATTGAACTCTGCAAAAAGGAAGTTTTCGATATGCATTTCGAGTTTAATTCCCCTTCGCAAAGATTGTCGGGAATGCGTAACAGACGCTATGGTCGTTAACATTTAAAGTGAGACCAAGATCCGAGCCATGTAAATTCCTCCCTTAATTTTGTTGGACATGATATTAAAAATGACTAATAAAGACAAAGAAAATTAAATTAAAACACACACACACACACACACACACACACACACACACACACACACACACACACACGCACACACACACACATACAAACGTTGTAAGCGATACGAGGGAGAAAAGAGAAGGGAGAGAATTAAATAGAGAGTAAGAGAAACGATAGAGAAGCTGAGAGAAGGAAAGTGAAAGAGAGTGAGTAAGAACAATTCAAAAGGGAAAAATTACTGTAAGGAAAATAATGGCAAAGCCTTTGGAAACAAAATATTAAATTAAATACACGAAAAAAGAAATATGAGGAAATAGAAAAAAAAACTTGTAAGTAATGAAAGCAAAGAAAATACCAAAAGAAAAAGTGGAAATAAAGGAGAAAGAAAGAAAGTAAAAGGAAATAAATAGAAAATAAAGTTGAAAGCAAAGAGAACGAAAAAGAATGAAGGCGAGAAGTAAAAAGTAAAAACAAGGAAGGAGAAGAAAGAAAACAAGTGAAGAAAAAGAGATAGGCAAAAGGGAAGGAGCGAAAAAAAACGGAAATAAGTAGAAAAGAAACAAAAAAGAAAGGAAGAGGGAAAACACGAAATGAAGAAGAAAACGAAAAGAGAAAAAAAGGGCGGAAAGAAGATGAAAAAGAAGAAAAGGATACAATTGAAAAAATGAAAAGGAAGAACGTAAATAAATGAAAGTAAAACTGAAAATATAAGAAAAAAATGAATGAAAAAAATGAATGAAAAAAAAGAATGAAAAAATGAATGAAAAAATGAATGAAAAAAGAATGAAAAAAAATGAATGAAAAAAATGAATGAAAAAATGAATGAAAAAAATGAATGAATGTAAAGGTAATAAAAGATGTAAAGTATAAAGTAAAAATGAAAAAGATTTTTAAAAGGCAATAAATGAATATAAAGAAGAAAGAAAAGAAAGAAAAACATCAAAAAAGAAAGAAAAAGAAGTAATTGAGAAATAATGAAAAAAGAAAAAGAAGAAAAATGAAAGGAATAAAAAAGAACGAAAGTAAAGGGAAAAAGAAAAATAGAAAGAAGAGAAAAAGACGAAAAAAGAATGAAAGAAGCATACACAGAAGAAAAACGAAATAAAAGAATTAAAGAGAAAGGCAAAAGGCAATAAGAAGTAATTAAGAATGAAAGGGAAAAGAAAAAAAAAAACAATATAAACGAGGAAAGACGAAAGGAAAAAGCATTAAATAAAAGGGAATGAGAAAAGATGTATAGAAAAGAACTGAAGAAAGAAAGAAAGAAAGAAAGAAAGAAAGAAAGAAAGAAAAAAGAAGAGTGGAAATAAAGAAAAGGGCGAAGTAATGAACGGAAAAAAGGCAAAGGAAGGAAAAAAAGATAAAAAGACGGAAGAGAACAAAGGTAAACAAAAGAAGGAAAAAAGGAAAAGAAAAGAAAATATGAAACGAAAGGAATAAAAGAATAAAAAAGAAAAGAATGAAAGAAAGGAAATACTGAGTGCAATAGAAATAGCTCTCACATAAATCTCGTAAAATATCACCGTCGATAAATTAGACGCCAAACATTTACAAAAGTCTAATGTAAAAGTAATCTGCATCATTAGCGTTTTCAAATCAAAATTGCAAACAGCGTCTCTTTAATTTTTCTCTATCACTATATATATATATATATATATATATATATATAAAGAAATATAGTTTTAAGTTATGCTATATTAATTGGATAAAATGCTCAATATCAGAGATAGAACGTATGTAAATATAAAATCTAACCTGTGCGTGATGTTGAATGTTATATATATATATATATATATATATATATATATATATATATAGTTAAATTCCCAGATGAATTCTGCGGACAAGACAGATTGGCATCAAATGACAATTGGAAAAAATCTTTAAAAAAAGGCTTAGACAGAAGCGTCTATGTTTTTAAATTTGGATTTTTTAATGTAACTATAACAACAAATTCCAATTGTCATTTGATGCCATATATATATATATATATATATATATATATATATATATATATATATATATATATATATA